ATCAGGACTATTTCCTTTGGTCTTGAAGTCTCCCAAGCTGGCAGTCTCTACGTCAGCCAGTGGGCAGCAGGAAAAAGGGGAGTTCTTCAGACTTTAGGGAGCTCTGGCAGAAAATTGGAGATTTTTCCATGAGAAAGACTTCCTTCTTCAAATAAAGTTTTCAATATGCATAGCCCAGGAGAGGAACAATGCCAGGTGGGTCACATACTGCAGCCGCTTGTTAGAATTGGGACTTTCACTGAATTTTAAGCAAAATCCACACAGTAGCACTGTCAATCTATGCATTGATGGTTACTTTGTCCTTCTGCTAGCCAGTATTCAAATTGGTCCTTGTGACAATCTACAGTGCGCCTGTATTTAACCCTCAGTGTGCCTTGTTCCTGTCAGAATAGTTAACGAGGTTGTCCTGTAACAGGGGTTTTGTACTGAGGTCTCAGGCAAAGGTAATTCCAACTTTCAGTCAACCAAGTTGGATCCTTCCCAACACTGGATGCATCTATGATACAAAAGGGTGAACCCAACCCTTTAGACTGGATCCACAACAGCTTTTTAGCTGTTGCCAGTTGCTTCAAGGCTTTACCATGGCACAGCAGAACAGGTGGCACCGTTCGGTTTTGCTCCTTGAGGAGTGTACGCACGGCCCTGCAAACGTCTGCCAACCACAACGTGTTGGTACCTGAATTTTGCAACGGAATTAGGAGAACAGGATGTGCTGGACTTGGCTGCTGGAGGATAAGGAACAACATTAGGAAGACCTACACTCCACAGTTTATTTTTTTTAAATAGCTGATAACGATACTACTGGCAAACTGTGGCTCTTGAAAGTGTGAAGAATTAGCATGTACAAGTGATGTGTACCTGAACACTTGCTTTCCTTGCCATACCATGGCTCTTATCCTTCCTGAACAGCAAGGAGCCATGTTACACACTGCTTTGCTTTTCAGACTCCTTACCTCCTCAGGTTCCAGTTTGCAGGGGAAGAGCTGCTGTTACTTTTGCTCTGTGAAGCACTAGGTCGAACAGCAAACCTTCTGAGGTAACCAACACCATGGAGAAATGCCTCTTGTGGAAGTCTTTGGTCCAGAGAGAGACGAGAAATTGTGCTGGACATCTTCATCAGTGACAACCACACTTGAACTTTTTAAGTTCTTTCAGAGCTATCAGAATTTATACGTGTGCTGTGATGGAACACAGCAGTCCACGTAGTATTGAAGTTGTCCTGGCTCTTACTCAGATCACGAACCAGTTGTGGGCAGTTCTAGGTGGTGACCTACCTCACTCATTGAGGGAAAAGTCAGCCTTTTACAGCTGCTGACCCGTGGTGTTTCATAGGAAAGCTGCCATCGTCGTACTAGGCTTTACCCAACTCTGCTAGTCAGCCTAGAGCTGTGAGGGGTTCTGTCTCCCTAACTGAGCCTGTTGGAGCAGATCCAGAGTGACACCTCGCCAAGTAAAGGTGGCACAGATCTCTGCTTTGCCAGAGTCGTTGTCTCTTGGTGGCATTACCACAAATTTGTAAAATCACAGAGCCAAACCATCCCGTCTTTAAAAGAAGGAGCACGGTGCACCTTCCTCAGTGACCACAGGACTGGCCAAACTTCACAGACTCAGCCACAGACTCGTGAGATGCCTGAGAAGCTGCAGAGTTCTGCATCTGCATCTGTTCTGGCTGGCAGGGAGGCAGGGTGGGGAGAGCAGGCGGTCTGCCCTGGAGCACTGACCCATCAAACTAACACAGAGTCGCCTGAATTCAGCAATTAATTAACTGAGTGACTTTGTCATGAAAATGCATTTCAGTTTTCTAACTTACTGTTCCACTTTGAGCCAACAAACTCGAGCGTTCAACAGTCCTGTGTAGAAAAAGTCTGTGCTTATTTCATTAACTTGAGGAAAGACATTTCTGAGTTTGTTTTCTTCTTTTCCTTTACTAGATGTCCTCAGAGTTAGAGCTGGTCAACGCTAAAAGAGAGGATTACGAACCTGAAATCGAGAAAGCAAGATACAACAGCTGTTTGGAAAGGCAGAACGCAGGAGGAAGGCAACATTATGAGATGGCATCAACGTGTAAGCCTGGTCAGACAGATGCTGCTGTGGTGGCAGATCAGAAACAGCCAAGTAGTTCCAGGTGAGGCTATTATAAATCTATTTTATAAGCTGTGTTAGAAGTTCCTGTACCTTTCAAAACATATGGACAACCCAGTTTGGAAGATGCCATAAAATGATAGCTCACTGGATTCTCCTTGCTGTTATTTCTTAATGCGTTTTTTTTCTTCATAAAAATGTAATTGTTGCAATCCTGTTTGACTTTCTGCTTACCTGGGGCGAGGGGCAGAAACACAGCCTCCTCAGCCAGCGAGCGTGATGCCACTTACCAGCGGAAACTGCGACAGAAGCAGCTACAGCGGCAGTTCCGGGAACAGATGCAGAAGAAGCACGAGGTTCCAGCAGTTACTCCTAGCAGCCAACAAGGTAAGACTCGGCGTTAAAACAGACAGTTTTAATGATGGCTGCTGGTGGGCATGTGGTGCCCTCGCTACTGGAGCCCAACCAGTTCCATCTGCCTTTGCACTGTACTATCAACACACAACGGAGACCCGAGGAGGGAGGATTAGCTTACTTCCCCCCACTCCATGCTCTTAGCAGGAGCATCACATCCATGCCTCGCGGCACGAGCATCAGCTTTGAAACTGCACCGTTAAATCTGCAACTTTCCAACCAACTTTCCAACCAAAACTTTGTTTTACAGGCAAACACACGTTGCGTTACCTACTAACACATTGCTCTTTCCTCCCGAGGAGGTCTGGGCAGCTGTGTGGTAAGCAGGAACTTGGGGGATGGGGTAAACAGGCTAAAAACCATCTCAAAGTGTTGCAGTTGCCCTTGTCAGCCATCATCAGGTACAGAATCTGACCGTTCCACATGCTGCCACCAAAACCACCAGTTCTAGGAAAAAAAAAAACCTCTCATTTCCAACTCATGCTCTGTTAAGGAGCAAAAGGTTCTTCTATATTTCTGATATTTATCTCTTCTCGTTACCTCCATCCAGCAACAGCTGATCCTCCAGTCAAGCACAGCACTCCAGCAGCAGTACAACAGGAGCTCGTGATAGAAGAGGAGTTCTTTGCAGGTCAGCCAAAAAGCAATGAGCAAGAGTGTTAAATCTGGTGATGTTAGCATTTACATCAGCTCTTCGGAGTCCAGCGTGGAGGGGAAAGTTCTGAAGAGGCTGGAATAACAGAAGTGCAAGGATGGGCCTGATCTCAGCGACACAGCCTTGCTGGAGGGGCAGGGAAGTGGCGGCCGTTGCTATGCAGGGTTGCACACCACGCTCTTGGGTTGTAAAACGTGTTCAGAAAACCCTTTTCCTCAAGTGATGCTGCACAGAAACAGAACATTTGGGGAGGTGAAGGGGTGTCTTAACAACCATGGCCATCTGGGTCCTGCTTACGGCGTGGTGCCTGGACATTGCTAAGTCCAGAGCACCGGGGTAGCACCGTGTCCCTGCTGTGCGCTGACAGAAAAGGTGCTTCACAGTTTTGTAGTGGCCACCACTTGGAGGAAAAGAGTGGGCTGGTCCTGGAGTTCCTGTCATTCCTGTAGTACATACAGTAGCGTCATCTTTGGTTTGATCACTTTTTCATTCATTCTAGATGATCCTGAACTTTGGGACATTTCCTTGGAGACTATGGATCTTAAGATGATGAGTCACGAAATGGCAGACCCATCAGCTGGACACGGGACACCTGGACCACCCCACGGACACCATCAAATGACTACTGGTAACAGGACACCTCACAGAATGAATTCCCACAAAACCTCTGCGAGGTTTGTGCAATTGCAGCCGTCTGCTGCCATCATGAGCAACATCAGCTGTGCCAACCAGTGTACCCCAGGTACGTCCTACCAAAAAATGTCCAAGTTCTGTCGTAGCAACTGCTCTTGGCTTTGAAAGCAACGCTGTCAGATTAGTAAATGGGAGTAGGAGAAACGTTCCTCTTTTCTTGGACCTGGCTGCAGATGCTGTGATAGTGGGCTAGGAGAACTAGTTGGGTTTTTCCTTCGAACTGTCCTATCAAGGAAGAACTAGAAAAAGAATTGAGGAGCCCTTTTAGAAGCAGAAAAAAAGCTTTAAGAAACTTATGTTTCTCACTGTCTCCCTGTTTGACAGAGCACAGCCCCCACATGAGAAGTCAAAGCTTGAAGAAGAGGAGGCTGGAACCTACGTAAGACACCTGGTGGTATCTACCTCCATCCTGGATTACATCAGAAGACTGCAGTTGGCTGTTGAAATGATGGGAGCCTAAAGCATTAATGGATTTTCCTGCGTATTATGGTGAAGCAACACAGAAGAGTTTAACACAGCCAGCAAGAACTTGGTGTTCTTTTTGGTTGTTACATGTTTCAGATGCCTTTTTAAGGCATTTTTTTCTGCAGCACCAGACTCGTGCCTGTATCACAGGCTGCCGCGACGCGCAATTTGCCTGCCAGAGTAACAGAATTAATCCTTACAGTGAGATGCAATTCCTGACTTTTCTCCCTCAGTGCTGTGTTTCAGCACAGGAGAAAGATTTCCAGTGAAACGGGGAGAGGGTGGGTCACAGATGCACAAAGCCTGCGAGCTGCAGTCGCTGCCCGTTCCAGGAGGCGGAGGGTGCGGAGCTGCGGCTGGCCCC